CACATGACTCCACAATCGATTTCACCTGTACCTTCCGCAGTCTCTTCAGCCGCAACGTCACAGATTTTTCACGACTTCGGAGATGGAGAGTCCCAGGTAACACGTGCTCTTGCGGGCACACATCTGTCCGACATGAACGGGGACGCCCTCCCCACCTCCCCTGGGCCAGTGAAGGCTCCCAAACCGACCATGGCCAACCGCATCTCTCGTATGTTCTCGAACACGGGCAAGACGACCCCTAAGGAGTTGGATCCGCATCGCGATTTCTCGGATAGCAGCTCGGATAGCATCAAAGCATCCTCCAATAGTAGTACGAAGCCTTCGAAACCCTCGTCTCGCCCTACCTCAAAACCCTCCTCAAGAGCGCCATCCCGTCAAACGTCTACCAGAGAGGACGAACGCAAGATCAAATCCAGCAGTGGCAAGGACCAAAAAGAGGCTCCAGTCGCTCATCGACGCTTTGAGGTGCCCGGCGATGGTACTCACCTACATCACCTCAAGAGTGCCAGAAGGCAAGAGAAGCTGACCGACTTGCTCCGCGATATGCTGGGCGGCGGAAGAAAGAAGGAAGATCATGTCGAGGAACAGCAATTGTCTCTCATGTCTACTTGGATTGACCAATTCAAGACCGAACGCGACAAGCTTGCTGCAGACAAGAAGGGCGGCCCCAATGCCACGGCCTCGCTAGTTGACAAGTACGGCAAGTGTCAGGAGATCGTTGGTCGGGGTGCTTTCGGTATTGTCCGCATATCTCACAAAGTGGACCCTAAAGACTCTAGAGTCGAGCAGCTCTATGCCGTCAAAGAATTTCGCCGTCGGCCCCAAGAAACTACGAAGAAATATCAGAAGCGGTTAACATCGGAATTCTGCATTTCCTCATCTCTCCGCCACCCCAACGTCATACATACCCTCGATCTCTTGCAGGACGCCAAAGGAGACTACTGCGAAGTCATGGAGTATTGTGCAGGCGGTGATCTGTACACACTGGTATTGGCCGCTGGCAAGTTGGAAGTTGCCGAGGCCGATTGCTTCTTCAAACAGCTCATGCGGGGTGTTGAATACATGCATGAAATGGGCGTCGCCCATCGCGACCTGAAACCCGAGAACCTCCTGCTAACTACCCATGGAGCTCTCAAGATCACGGATTTCGGAAATGGCGAGTGTTTCCGTATGGCTTGGGAGAAAGAGGCCCACATGACTGCTGGGCTCTGTGGCTCGGCCCCTTACATTGCCCCGGAGGAGTACATTGAGAGGGAATTTGACCCAAGAGCGGTCGACCTGTGGGCGACTGGCGTAATCTATATGGCCATGCGGACTGGGCGACACCTTTGGAGAGTCGCCCGCAAGGATGAAGATGAGTTTTATCAGCGGTATCTGGAGGGTCGCAAACATGAAGATGGTTATGCTCCCATCGAAACTTTGCATCGGGTAAGTACACCGTGGACCTCATGTTGGTAGACATGTAGACTGACACGTTGCTATGCAGGCTCGTTGCCGGAACGTCATTTACTCCATTCTGGATCCTAATCCTTCTCGCCGAATCAATGCCTCGCAGGTGCTTAAATCCGAGTGGGTTCGTGAGATCAAGCTATGTAAGGCCGGTGAGGAAGGATTCTAAAGCAAAACTCAACGATCAACATATTCACGCTGTTGGGCTCACCTTCAAAGCACCGGGGGTGGTCACTTGAGAAGGGGGCCCATGGTCTCGGCGGGCTCAATGTTGCGTTAGTCGGGGCTGTGCATCCCTTATTGAGAAGTCGATCTCTTGTTTGGTGTGCGTGTGCCGAGAATAAAACCATAGACCCGGGTGGTTCATGTGTCTGCCGTTCTACAGGCGAATTTTCTTTTCCTTCCGCCTGCTTCTTTCTCGGTCTGTCTTGCGACTGGTACCATAGAAGGGGGCCCTTTTGATTTCGAAGCTATCATACCGGCGCATGTTTTCTGTCTCTACCACTACTTTATACTCCTGCCTACTAGCTTATGGGTTTAGTTTGGTCTTCATGTTTCCATGTCAATGCAACGAACAGTCATGATCTATGAGCCACCTTCTCCTACTTTAACATGTTTGATGCAACCTACATCCATTATGGTTGACTATTTGTCGCTCACACTGCAAGGGCACTGCCCTTTTGTCTTCTTATGTTGTTCCCCTTGCCTTTTTTCTTCTTCTATTTTCTATTCCTTTCTTGGGATTTCTTTTGTTATGGTGATTCTCTCTTCTCGAGATCGGCTGGACGATCAGTCTCTCCTTGGGAGGATATTATGAGTTGGCTCAGCTGGAACCTGTCCTAACCATTTGCGTCTTTATCGTTCGCTTGGGTCTACTTCACTTTCCGGTCGTTCTTGGTGTCATGGTCCTGAAATTATTGTACCATCAAACCTTCAATGGGACCGGGGATCAGGCATGTGTGTTTCTGGGATACCCTCTGGCAGCATATTCTCCGATATGATCATCTATGTCATTCTTCTCATTTCTCGTTCCTTGGCTGGATATTCTTGCTCGTCATTTAGTCGCCTTATTGCTGGCTATACTGTCCGCAACTCGATACAATAGTGGCTCCTATGTACCGTACCAATCTTGGAATATTTCAAGATAGAGAAAATGGCCTGGTAATGCTCCAGTACGTGTGAGAACGAGGTTGTTGTCTAGTTTCTCTTTATGTGATCATACAATTGACTAGGGATGACCTCTCAAGTTCCTTAGTCTGCTGCATTAATAGGCCAGCGATCAATCTAAGTCAAGAGATGAGTTCGAGTTCTGGCGCATCTAGTCACATTAGTCACTGTGTACTAATTCAGAGCCACCAAAAATGCGAACAATGTGTAAGACAACAGTTTCAGCCTCGGTCGGGATCAAAATACCACGGTCGGATTCCCGATAACTGGCGGCTGCTCCACCGCTACCAACACTGACTGACAGTGGTAACTGCCAGGTAACATAAAGACCCATGACTGGCACTTGTGCTGCATGCACAGACTGCACCGGAATGTGATCTGGGATTGGTTTGGTGGTTATGTCTGGTTCGACCGGTCCAGCCCAGGACAAACGACGCAGGCCATGCGCACTCTCACATTGTGATAATGTAATAATGTATGTATATGTACATGTATGTATATTTGTATGTTATATTTGTACTCATATGTACGTACAGCACTAACTCAGACCCGATGCAGGAAAGAACGCGCCGGGCAACGAGCCAGATCAAGCTTGCTTGGCGCATCCTGCAGTCCGAAGACGAACTCGAGCTTTTAGTCAATAGACTAGGTAGAATTGGTTAGTTTCCTCTGCGGGCCGTTCAAATGACCGATTGACTGACTGGCTGTTATTGATGAGTGGAGATCGACAGCTCACCCAGTGTGTTGATTGTTTGTTTTTTGATGCCGGGCTCACCGTCTGTCTCTCTGGTAGTTCAGGGTCATTCACGGTTTATGGAGTAAACCCTCAGCTTCAGGAACCCAGTGGCCGTACTCCGTACAGAGAGTTTTTAGGCTGCATTTGTTACTCCTTTCCCCTCCAACCCCTTGAGTCTGAGTGCTCATGTTGCAGTCTGATTCCGTTGGGAACATGTCAAGCTTGGCACTGCAGCCAGCCCTATGCTGATGGAGAAGGAGGAAGACGAGGAGTTCCGGATGATCTTCCGCTCAGGGTAGGCAGCACTATTACTCTCTCTCTCTCTCTCCCTCTCCTCTCTTGGCGAAGAGGCGAGCGTCTGAACCTCTTACCTAACAGTCCGTCACTGCACTGCACTGCATTGCCCCCTTATGGTTCGATTGAGAAGTCGAGAACCCGCCCACCGCTGCAAGGCTGATGGCCAAGAGTCCGATATCGGGTGAATCTTGGCAAACACATCGACTGGCTTCTTTTCAGGACATATGATCTCGAGTACGTGCACTAGGTTGTAACTACGGAGTACCTAGTGCATACATACTTGAAGGGGTTCGCTGGAACTTTCAGTCGGTCGTTTTTTTGTTTTTTCTGGCACGAGGAATCTTCTTCTCCGAAGGCCCCGAGGGGGGGATTAAATTCCATACGAGTATGTATGTAGTATGTACAAAGTAGCTGTGCCATGCTGTGCCTGTCGATCCTTCATTGGACCAACACATGATATTGTAGGTCTCGTACTCGCACGAGGGGCTTCTGAGAATCCGGGGTGCAGAGCAACAACAATGTTCAGGGTCTGGAGCCTGGTTCGGCCGAGGATGTGCTACAATAGCTTGGTGAGGGGAAAGAATAGCCGCAAGAGAATCGCTCCCCAGAGAAAGTCAGAGGATTGACATGTTGTGATGAGATTGAAGAGTAATGTACAGTACAGTCAATCAATACATAACAATGTGTATTTGCAGTGGTTCACTGACTTACTGAGTGACATACTGACATCACTTCCATCTCCCATGTTAGCTTGAGGAAGTTACATAGCAGGAGGCAGGCTGCAACGTTTCTTGATACTGCCAATACATGACGTAGAAGAAGAACAGGAGGAGGAACGAACGGCCGATACAGTGACACACACAGTAGACATTACAGTACTGTATGAACTAAGTTACTGTGACTGACAAATGCACAGCCCATGTTCCTACAATACACTAACTTACAATACAGATGTCATCCGCCCGCGGATCCCGGGCAAATGCGCACAGATTACAATGTGTAATACATGGGTATGTAATATTCCAAACAGGACGAGCTGTAACGCAGAGAACATTACATGAAAGAGCACCGCCACATCATTCATAATTCGGTCAGCGCCACAGTGATGGCAGCCTGCCTTGTCCCGCATTCATCGGGCATCTCCATCTGCTTTCGGAAAAGAGGCACCCTTTCCACCACATTACGTTTCACTCCCTCAGACTTGGAACTCGAACAACAACAAATTCGCGATTTGTTTGGTAAACACTTGTTAAATCCCTATCGGAGTGCCTATCTCTTGCGGCCGGCATAAACCTATCGGTTCTCTACATCCAGCCATCCATCGCTCTATCTCGAAGAATTCACCCCGACTCGCAAGATCCATCGTCATCATGTCCTGGGCAGGTGCGCAAATGTCATCCCGGCTTCTTGCAGTTTTCGCCGGTCCGTTTGAGACCTCTACTTCTAACACTTCTGGACTCTTTAGGGTTCAAGAAAAATGTGAACCGCGCAACGACGCAGGTGATGATGAAGACCGGTATGTTGTTGGCTGCCTGCGTACCCCGCGATGAGACTGTCTTCTGTCATCCTCCCCCTCGATCGATCATGACCACCGACGGCTGACTCGAAATACTTCTTGCGAACTAGGACACGTGGAGCGGACCAATGATCGCGACTATGAGATTGAGGAAAGGTAAGGCATTGTCGGCACACAAACTGGTGATCAGTGGTTGGTCCGGGTCACTGATAGGCTCCGACTCAGGCGGTATCGGACCATGGAGGCTGCTGCCAATCGGCTACAGAAGGAGGCCAAGGGATATTTGGATTCGCTGCGAGGTGTGTTGTCTCTGAAGCCGCTTGCAAACCCGGGGAGAGTCCCCGAGGAGACAGGTTGCTAATGCGCAGACAATTTTATCAGCGATGACCGCCTCCCAGATGCGCATCGCCGAGACGATCGATGCTTTCTACGGCGATGCGGGTACACGCGATGGCGTCAGTCGGAGTTATAAGCAGGCGGTGGAAGATCTAGACGCTGAGACGATCAAAGCCTTGGATGGACCCTATCGGTAAATATCCCTTTGCGACTTACTGCCGTCGATACTCTTGCTGGTCAAGGCTGAACAGGCTGCTGCAGGTCGACCGTGCTGGAACCGATTTCGCGATTCTGCGCCTACTTCCCGGATATCAATGAGTGTATCAAGAAGCGCAACCACAAGCTCCTGGATTACGATTCGATGCGGGCCAAGGTGAAGAAGTTGGTCGAGAAGCCTGACAAGGACGCCACGAAGCTGCCCCGGACCGAGCGCGAAATGGAGATCGCCAAGCAGGCGTATGAGCAACTAAACGAGCAACTTTTCACGGAGCTACCGCAACTAATTGATCTCCGGGTCCCGTATTTGGACCCTAGCTTCGAAGCCCTGGTCAAGATCCAACTGCGTTTCTGTGCCGAGGCGTACTCGCGTATGGCTCAAGTACAGCAGTATCTGGATGCGGAGACGCGGGATCAGTATGCTCGGGGAGATTTGGACAATCGCGTGGAAGAGGTGTTGCAAGAAATCCGGGACTTAAGCATAGCGGGCACTGTGTGAGGCTTCGGTTGTCGATCATGTTACCCTTCAGAGAAGGGGAAAAGGCGTTTCCATTACTTGCTATTCTTTCTCGGATTTGCGCTGTCGCTGTTACTACCCCATATCTTCCTCGATGGGCTGCCTCTAATACTTGATTTGCTCGTGGGTTGAGCAAAGGGTGTCTGGGAGGGAGGAGGGAGGAGTGGGCTCTCTATCTTCCAGCTTCTTAGCCAGACACGGAGCATTTGTGTATGATCTAATTAGACTCTGGATTCGCGTTCCTCTTCTAAGGGAACGAATTGCATTTCATGGGTATCTGTAAAATATACGGCTGGGTCATGAGTCCCCCAGCATGAAAAATCTATCTTGCTTCTCCGCTGCTTGCTCAATGTATGGTTTCCATCGTTCCGTTTATGATCATTCACTTGAGCTCATCGTCCGACCGATAGAACTCGTCGGCCAGAAGATCCATGACGCGACCCGCTGCGGCGGCAATGGCATCCAACTCCGTCTGAGACATCTTGCCGAGGACATATTTCGAGACGGCCTCGGACGTTCTCTCCTTGGGGCGACCGATGCCCACTCCCACGCGCATCACTCGCGGGCTTGTCGCCGACTTGACTGGGTAGTGTTTCTTCGAGCGCAGGACGTCGAAGATGTTCTGGAGGCCGTTGTGGCCCCGCAGACTGGCCTCATTCGGACCCCCGCGGCGGACCTTGACTTTCCCCAGCGGCGCCTCCAGCTCATCATGGAGGATCACCAAGGTCGGTTTGAAGTCGCGTACATTGCGCGGATCGGTGCCCCGGCGCTCCCACTCGGGCTGATGTCCTCGCCCGGTGCCGGTGGTGGTGGTGGGCAGGAACTCAAACGGGATCGTCAGCTCTCCGCGCTCGGCGAGCTGCTGGTGGTTGATCCCGGCGCTGGGGAACTTCCTCATCCAGGTGTTAAGAGCCGGCACGACTTTCCCGCCGGAGACGTTCATCATCGCGGGGGACTCGAAGGTTTCGTAGAAGTAGGGCCGCGCGCCCCCGCGGCCCGTATGGGGGATCCGCGCCCGCAGGAGCGGGACAAGTGCATCCAGGAGGCTGTGGCCGGCGCTGTGGCGGGTTTGGCGATAATGCTGGGGGAATCGATTCCCTATGGAGGCGATGAATAGGAAGCGGTGGGGGACTTTGATGATCGGCCCTGCAGCGGCCGCGGCTGCGGTTGAGGTGGGAGATATGGACATTTGGCTGTATGAGGAGGTGATGGTGGCACACAGGGGTGTGTGTTTGGTAAAGCAGTACTGCACAGTATAATGTGGAAGGTGATTGTTGGTGATTGTTGGTGTAGGTGTTGTAGGTGTTGTAGGAAGTAGTCTCGGAGAAGGCATTGTTGCTCTTTTCCCTTTTTTCTTTCTTTTTTTTCCCCCCTTCTTCATTTTACTACAAAAAACCCTCCGACTGGCCCTAGATCTACAGTACAACCAGGGCTTTCTTCCACCCACCCAGCCCCTGGTGGCTTACTTCTCTCATTGTCATGCTCTTGCTTTCGACTTCATTTTACTAGCCTGCGCGCTCCTCGAAACTTACCAGCATCACTTGGGCCCTTTCTTCCTACAACGAGTTTTGATGTCATGTCCATATATAGCCCAGAATGAATGATACGGAATAGAATAGTCGTAGGATGATATCCTGATGTAATATGAGCAAGAAAAGAAATCTCCCCATAAAAAACTGGGCTTCGGGAAAAACAACCAACAAAACGCCCATCCAAACCCCAATGCAAAAAAACATGGCTGGATATCTTCACGATAAACAATGGGAGAAATTGCATCATAGCTGGAATTTGGTGCGGGTCTTTTCCATGCCGCCCTTCCATTCCCACTCCTGGCCACTAGCCCGTTGTATACCCTTATCAATCCGGCGCAGCTTCAGGGTGAAGCGGGGCCCCAGTTCCTGCATGCCAGCTCGAATGCCCTCAGCACCCTTCATCTCCTTGCCATCCGCACCTACAACGGCTTTTTCAGTCTCTCGCTTCTCGCGGAAGACGTAGCGGTGGCGACGAAAGAAGAGATAATCGCGACTGTTCAGGACGGTGACGACTTGCCGGCCTTGAACTTCCGGCTGCGCGGGGAACAGGGTACGAAATAGATGGGCCGTCAACAGACCCAGGGGAGTGCGGAAGTTGTTCAGGATGAGCTCGGGGAAATGATCGGTGGCATTTCCGTGCCCAGGAATGCGCTTGCCTTCAACCCAATTGGACATGGAGAAATGAAACATCGGGCCAGTTGGCAGGTGAACGATATCCAGACCGGTGGGTTTCTTCTGATCTTCACGTAGAATTACCAGCGCAGTGTAGTTCCGATTCGAGGCGAATTTAGAGATCTCGCGGATGGAGAACTGATGAGCGAACCGATGGCGAGTGCGGCGGACATAGTGCGAGTTGGGGAAGAGGTCCGTGAGTAGCTCGGCCTCGTGATGAAGAGTTGAGTTGAGCGAGGTGGTGATGAGGATCTTGGGTGAGGGGTTTTCAAGGTTGAACAACGAGGGGAATTTGGCGGCCAGCGCATCGGGGACAAGACTGAGGTTAGTGCTCTTGGTCGATCGCGACGGGCTGGTCGCTCGCTCGGTAGCGGAGGGAAGAGTGGATTTGCGCCGTCCATGAGAGTCGCCCTCCTTGTGTTCATCATCGTCCTCTCCATCATCATCTCCATCTTCCTCGTCGTCACTGCTGGCAAGCATACTGTCCACATCGTCGTCCTCGTTTGAATGCTCCTCTGAACCATCATCGTCCTGTGAGTCTTCATCGCCCGACTTTTCGGTATCTTTCAAAGGTCGGTTCAGTTCATCCTCTTCTTCCTGCTTGCGTCTCTTGATGCGCTCCACATCAACACTCAACCCCAAGCCATCTTCGACGTCACTGCCGCCCTCATCCCATACTCGTTTCCGATCAATGGTAAGTGGGATATTGCGCTTCAACCGTTCCTCCTTCAAGCGGGGGTTCTTGGCCTCTTCCTTCTTGAAGGCATATCGTTCGGTGCGGCGAGCGGAATCCTTGGCGCGCTTTCTCTTTATATGGAGCATCTGGCGGCGAAGTTTGTTGCGCGGTTTGATTTCCATGCTCGCATCAGGCGGCGGCCGAGAGAGGCCCTTTCTGGACCCCATCCTAAAGAATCTGTCAAGGTAATTCTCCCAATTGATTTGTGCTTGTGCAAAGCTAGGCAAAAAAGACTATTGGGGGGGGGGGAAAAAAGAAATGAGACGGGCGGAATGACATCGGGACTGGAACAACAGCTTCCGGCGGTGAGAAATAGAATTGCTGCCATTGTGAGGCGGGAACAACAACCATACCCAATCAGGGCAATGTGGAAGTTTTTATGTCCGTTCTTTCTTTGGAAGCCAGCAATCATTCCCGATCAGTTTCAACTACGCCAGCTTAAGTTTAAAGAGAACTAATCCAACTGCGCAATTGTCCTTCTTCATCATCATCATTTCATACAGCGAACCTCATCTGCTGATCTGACGTGGTGATTGATTGGTAGTTTGTAGAGACGTGTGGCGGATGACTCACTCGCAGCATTGTTCTCGTCTTTCTGCTCTCCCTCGTTTCATCTCTTCTCCTGTCCTGGTTCGGCCACGCCCACCGCCGCCGCCGCCGCCGCCGTCGTCTTTTCTTCCCCGCCGCCGCTGCCCACTTACACTTTCTTCACTTCATTCCGCTGCCCCTCTTTTTCTTGCTTCAATCCCCGCGACTTTCCTCTTGTCTCCCTTCTCCTCCCTCTCCTCCTCCCCCTCCTCTCCCTCCTCCAGACTTTTTTCTACCTCCCCCATCCCCCTTCTTTTTAAGAGTCGTATTGCGCAACCTGGTCAAAACCCGAAGAAAAAGAAGAAAATGGCTACGATCAACACCAGGACCGGTCAGGTCGTTGACCGGAGTGTTTTGGACTCTATGCTGCGCCGCCGCCTCTTCTACACCCCATCCTTCGAGATTTACGGCGGTGTCTCCGGTCTCTACGACTATGGCCCACCCGGCTGTGCCGTCCTGAACAACATTGTCGACCTGTGGCGCAAGCACTTCGTGCTGGAGGAGGATATGCTCGAGGTCGACTGCACAATGCTGACCCCGCATGATATTCTCAAAACCAGTGGTCACGTCGAGAAGTTTGCCGATTGGATGTGCAAGGATCCCAAGACCGGTGAGATCTTCCGCGCTGACCACCTGGTCGAGGAAGTGCTCGAGAGCCGCCTGAAGGGCGACAAGGAGGCTCGTGGCCAGAAGGTTGAGGTGGACGAAGAGAAGGAAGCTAAGAAGAAGCGCAAGTCCAAGCAGACCAAGGCTGTCAAGCTGGATGATGCTGTTGTCAAGGAGTACGAAGAAGTCCTGGCTCAAATTGACAACTTCGACGGCCCTGCTCTCGAGAAGATAATCGCCAAGTACGATATCCGCAACCCGACCACCGATGGCAACCTCCTTCCTCCAGTGGCCTTCAACCTGATGTTCCAGACCTCCATTGGTCCTAGCAGCAACATGCCCGGTTTCCTGCGCCCCGAAACCGCCCAGGGTCAGTTCCTCAACTTCCACAAGCTGTTGGACTTCAACCAGCAATCCATGCCGTTCGCCTCTGCCTCGATCGGCAAGTCTTTCCGTAACGAGATTTCTCCCCGCGCCGGTCTGCTGCGCGTGCGTGAATTCCTCATGGCCGAAATTGAACATTTTGTTGACCCCGAGGGCGGCAAGAAGCACTCCCGCTTCGCCGAAGTCAAGGACGTTGAATTGTCCCTGCTCAACCGTGACGTGCAGCTGTCCGGGCGCACTCAAACCGAGAAGATGACCATTGGCAAGGCCGTGGAGTCCGGACTGGTGGACAACGAAACCCTGGGTTATTTCTTGGCTCGTATCCAGCTTTTCCTGCTCAAGCTCGGTGTGGACCCCAGCAAGCTTCGTTTCCGCCAGCACATGGCCAACGAAATGGCCCACTATGCTGCTGACTGCTGGGACGCTGAACTGCAAACCAGCTACGGCTGGATCGAGTGTGTCGGCTGCGCCGACCGCAGCGCTTACGATTTGACGGTGCACAAGAACAAGACTGGTGCGCCTCTGGTTGTGCGCGAGCCTCGCGCTGAACCCTTGAAGATTGAGGAGTGGCAGATTGATCTGGACAAGAAGAAATTCGGTCCCCGTTTCAAGAAGGATGGTAAGACCGTTGAGGCCGCTATTGAGGCCCTCTCTCAGGATATGCGGGAGAAGCTCTCTCTGGATCTGACACAGAGCGGCAAGATTGAGGTGCCCGTCGAAGGTGTCGGTGCCGGCTCGGTCGAGCTGGACAGCGAGCTGATCAAGATTGAGAAGCGCACTCGGGTGGAGAACGTGCGCGAGTACACTCCTAACGTCATAGAGCCGTCCTTCGGTATTGGCCGTATCTTGTACAGCATGATGGAGCACGTCTACTGGTCTCGTGAGGGTGATGAAGCTCGTGGTGTAAGTCTTTCTTCCTTTCTTTCTCAACCCACTGCATATGCTAGACACACCGAACTGACTAAATTCGCTATACAGGTTCTGTCCTTCCCCCCCGCGATTGCTCCGACCAAGGTGTTGATTGTCCCTCTGTCGACGCACGCCTCCTTCGCGCCCCTTAGCCAACGGCTGATGATGTCCCTCCGCCGGATGGGTATCTCCAACCGGGTGGATGATTCATCCGCTAGCATTGGTAAGCGCTACGCGCGCAATGATGAGTTGGGCACCCCCTTCGGTATCACTGTCGATTTCCAGTCGGTCAAGGACCAGACGTTCACTCTTCGTGACCGCGACTCGACGAAGCAAGTTCGTGCCAGTGAAGCGGAGATCTTGCAGGCCCTCAAGGCTCTCGTCGATGGCGAGGAGACTTGGGAGGACGTCCGCAAGCGTCTGCCTGAGTTCACTGGCCAGGAGGTTGATTAGACAGCCCAAGTCAAGCGGATTTAGACCATTTGATGGCCATTGACTGGGGGCCTTTGACATCCCATGTCTCGTTTCTATAATAAGAATTTTTCATTCAATAATAATGAATGTTGCATCTTCCTCTCCATTTGAGATAGAGCGTAGTACATAGTTTTGGACGCCAAGCGCAAGCCTGCCGCGGCCGGGATCATCAACGTCATGGCCAGTTGGCAGTCTCCCCATCCATGCCCTTGTTTAACCTTGCATCTTCTTCTTCTTCTTCTTCTTCCTCATTGACTTTGTTACTCTCCCTCGGTCTCTCTCACTCCGATCACCTCCCTTCCTCACTTGTCGTCTTTTCGTCCCCTTCTGATCCTTCATCCAGTTTTATCCACCGGATTGCTTTCTTCTTTGTTCCCCCCTTTTTGCGGGCTGTTTGACCTTTGTGCTCGCCAAGCATGGCACCCTCAATCCCGTCTGCTAAGCTGACTCTTTCTTGTCCTCTCTTCGCCGCTGATTTCGACCCGCGCAATCCTGGATTTTTGCTCGTTGCCGGTGGAGGAGGGGAGGGTCGCAGTGGAGTGGGAAACAAAATCGCAAGTCTGCCTCGTCGCCGCCTCGGTCCAGTCCTATGAATCTACCTGCTAACGATCATCCCGTGCTGTAAACAGGTCCTTCTCGATTCCTCTAAACGCCATGCGCTCTCTCCGGTCGTTGATATCGACTTGTCGCGCGATGAAGATTCGGTGACCTCGCTGGCAGCCGCGCTGCCTACGGAGGACTCGGTCATTGCCTTGGCCGGCATCAACAGTTCCGTCGAAGAACAGAAGCGAGATAACAACCAACATCTACGGTCCTTCCGCATCGATTACCCTCCACGCAGAGCCCTTTCTGGAGCCGATCAGGTCGTTGAGTCGTCAGAAGACGGCTCGTCTGCGGCGCCGACTCTTGGGAAGACTACGCCCTTGTCGCGCGCCTCGCTCTTCCGCACAGCCAAAGGCTCAAAAACATCTGACACCTACCAACGCCTTCTGCGCCTCTCCCCGTGGAAGCCCGGTGCGCAATCCCCTCGCGTAGCTGCCATCGCAACCGGTCTGGCGGCGACTGGCGAGATTGTCTTCTTTAGCGCGACCGCTACCCCCGGGCAATCGGAGGTTATCGGTCGAATTCGGCTAGGCAGCGGTGAGGAGGCCGAGGACATCGATATCATTGAATTAGACGACGAGACGGGCACCTTCCGCTTTGCCTACAGCAATGGTGTCGATGTTTTCGTAGGCCAAGTTGCTGCGGAAACTCGCTCAAATGCCGCGCCGGACGTGCGATGTATTTATACGACACCGGTCCCGGAGAAGGGGCCGCGGACTAGGCCGAAGTTCCGGGCGTTGCGCTTCCTTTCGCCAACCAGTCTACTCCTTCTGCAGAACTCTCCCGACCGTAAGGGCTGTGAGCTGATGATCCTTGATCTCCGAAGTGCGCTGGTTCCCAATCCAGGGGAGAAGAAACTGCAACAGCAGCAGCAGCAGCAAAAAACCACCGAGAAAGCAAGCATCATCCGGCGTAAAAAGCTTCGCAAGACCATCAAAATCGGTCTTGGTTTGGATATCTGCCTTCTAGGCTCTGGGAGCGACGACCCCGTTAACCAGCAGCAGCAGCAGGCCATCATCGCAGTCTCTGGAAGCGACCAGTCCATCGAGCTTCTGACCCTCGAATTCAATCCGCTCAGCAGCCGGGGCGGCTACGGCCCTCTCCGTCACTATACTACTCTCCCCGACGTGCACCCATTTTCCATGACCAAGCTTTGCTTTGCTCCCTTCCTTTCACCCCTGCACCCTGTGTCGGCCGCGACTCCTCCGCAATACGTTCGATTGGCCTCGGTCAGCATGGGCAATACGGTCGTCGTCCATACTCTCCCACTTTCCCCCTGCCCCCCCGCTAGCCGCAATCCTCGCTACGTCTTGTCTATGCCCGGAGAATCTGAGATCTGGACCAATTTCTCCAGCGGGTTTGCCGCCCTTCTCTCTATCCTCATTGTCTGCTTCGTCCTGCAGGCGTTCACCGAGATTCGGGGAGCAATGCCTCCCTACCTCGGTGCTGCCGAATGGCTCCCCCCGCATGTCCGGGACGCTGTAGCTCGACCATATTACCCTCCTCCTTCCCCACTTCCGCCCTCCCCTCTCCCTCCCGCTGACCTCTCAACCTCGTCCCCGGAATCACTTGTGGTGACCAGAGCCCCCAGCAACAGCCCCATATGCGCATCATCGACCCCCTCCCCCATCCCTGTCCTCGCACCGGGCAAACCCTCGTTCATCTCCTGCGATCCAGCTACGAATCTGCTGCTTGTGGACTCCACCCCAGCAGATTCTGTCTCGTCCTACCGC